GGAGAATGTAGATGGCGCAATTCCGCTCAGGCGGGTAAGTAAAGGGTGAAGCCAAAATTGGGAATTGGGAACTGCATGCACGCCCACCCAACTGTACTTTCCCTTCATGGAGTTGGATAGCTGCGTGAGATTGTCCAACCCCCGATGTCTCATAACAACGGCTCATGTGCATGACATCTCCTGCACAAGATGACTAAGTGGACCACTACCCAATCCCTATGTTGACAAACACCAGGAAATGCTAAATGGGGGTCTGAACAAATACACGACATATCTCATCCTTTCTTTGTTGAACATTGGCTTTTCAGCGCAGGGTTCTGGAATGGTTTCGGACGACTACTGAGAAATGGATCATACTTTCACTACGGTGGCCGCTCCTAGCTATGAAGCAAGGTCCACCCTTTTGACTCAGACCCTCCGGTTACTCCCCTACAGATTGACTTAGACGTGAACGTAGGGGTACTCCAATATGGATTTCAGCAGTCCTTTTGGTTTGCCCTTGAAGCAACCCCCGAAAAAAGAGCCCTGAAGGACAAACCCGCTTAGAACCCCAGAATCTAGTTTGTTCGAGGAATCTGCTTTTGGACCCCATGTTTGGGTTCCTTCCGTTGGGTAGGTATGCCAAGGAAGACCCCCCGTGACACCACGCGCACATCATCATACAGATTTATATCCAGCCATTTCTGGGGTCTACTCACAGCCCCCCACACCCGCAAGCATACCATGTCTGAGGTGGATGCCTAACTGAGCAGCTTTGAGCCCCCTCATTGGCTATTAGGTGGTTCTGCCCGGTTTTTGGGGGTTGTAGTAGCTCTCAGTTGTTCAGTGGCACCCGCTGCCCCACTAAAAATGGTCTTCCCCAAAAAGGGTTCCTTTTTTACCAGGGTCACTGAACAGAACTTACTCGCTATGTTAGACCCACACGTCCGCGGATTTTGGTCGCTCAACTTGAATCCTGTGGATCCATTCCCGGCGATTCCAGGCCCTCAAGCCGGGGAGGCTGGCGAGGGGCCGATCTCCGGCAGCGCTGGACGTGGTGGAGTTGGGTTGGGTTGGTTTGGTGGTTCGTTGGTTTGTCCTTTTCAGGGTTACTCAGTTGTTCAGTGGCACCCCTTTTTTTCCTTTTTTTTAGTGGCTGGCCCACTAAAAATGGTGGGTTCCCTTTTTTTTCTGCTAGGGTCGCCGAACAAGTGAGGTTATCAATGTCATGAAAGTCGGCAACTGGAGGGGAGGGGAGGTTCTCTTTGCCAATCACTTCGGGGGTGGCTTTGGTGAAGAATCATGTGCCCAGCATCAAGGTACCCGCGATCAGGCGAGCTCACTAGGCAAACCAGCAAGAACTCAAGGTCTTTCGCGGGGGTTTCTTGCATGCCCAGCTCAATCATCCAAAGGGCGGCGGGTGCACCTATTTTGGGATGGGGTTCAAGAAGGAATTCAAAGGGACACCCCCCCCTTTTGTCAACTCATGTGGATCGGAATGCGGGGGGTGTCTTTTTGTTGAAGGCTTGGTTGTGATTTTGTAGGGGCAGTTAAAAGTAGCCAGGACCCCCAGTGTTTTCAGGCGGAAAACCCGCATTTCCAAGTGGTCCTTGCGTGGAACCCGCCTCCAGGGGTTTTTGGGTTCGCGTGGACATTTCGTGGCAAAGTCACCTCATTTGGGACCTTCTCTGAGATGACTTTGCACTTTAGGTTGACTCAATCTGGCCATGGGTCAACACCCCGTACCCCCAGTGAACATCCCCAATCTGAAATGGGTGGTGCACCTACCCCAACATGGGATCCCATTGGTTTTGACCCACAGCCATATGGGCTATAATGAAAGTCCGGTTTTTGGTTGGGGGCAGCTGAGGTTTGGGTGGTCAAGCCAGGTCATAGCCAGGGTTACAGGGTTGTAAGGGAAACCTTGGTTACCTACTTGGGTGTGTGTTTTTGATGGCACCCTATTGGGCCTGTTTTGTTTTGGCGTCAAAGCAACAAGAAAGCTGAACTTTATTTTTGGGTTCCGATTCTAAGCCCCGTACTGGCTGCATACAGGGAAACACATTGCCCCAGGTGATAAGACCTTACCAAGTTGGTTGAAAATCCAAGTGGGTGTCTGCTTTCCCCCCAACATGGCCTCGGTTTTCCTGTTCGTTTCCCCAAAAACCAGGGTCCCCCCCAAAAACAATGGCTTCGGTTTTCCTGTTCGTTTCCCCAAAAACCAGGGTCCCCCCCAAAAACAATGGCTTCGGTTTTCCGTTTGGTTTCCCCAAAAACCAGGGTCCCCCCAAAATGGCTTCTTCGTTTCCCTTAACACCCACCAAACCGGGGCGCCCCCCGAACCGGACCGCACCCAAGTCGTCTCCCCGCAGGCGTGGCCAACTCTGCCCAGGCGGGGCAGTCGTCGACTGCGCGGTTGAACAACCGGCAGAATGCCCGAGTTGAGACACGGGGTCAAGCAACAACCCTCTTGAATAGCTCGGGATTTTCCGTGAAGGCCAAGACTTCGCGAGCGAAATGTCTCACTGAAATGGGCTCCGGGCCGATTTTCCCTTCTTTTTCGCCTTGCAGTCAGGGCCCCAGTTCGCAGTCCCGAATTCGATGGCGGAGCTCTTGGGCTGTTTCCCCAAAAGCTCCCGGAACTGCGAATCCAGGGTTCCCATTCGCTTTGCTAATTCTTTTGGTCGAACAACAGGGCTCTAATATATGACCAGAACCTTTCCAAGCTCAAAACAGATGTTTTGATAGCTTGATACATGAGCAGCGTAGTACCGAAATATTTTTTTGTCTCAAGAACCCACAACATCCGGACGTCGTTTCCGCGCGCCGCCTGTTTCTCGCCGACTTCTCGCCGGCTCCGGCGAGGGCGGGGAAAGCGGCGCCCCGGCGCTGGACTGGCCGCGGCGCTGCGCCACCCGAGGATCCCAAAGACCGGGCGAGGCGATCTGAGCGGCGATCGAGCCGCGAGCCGTCGGGGGCCGGGGCTATGGAAGATGCGGCCGTGAAGCGCCAGGGGATTTTTTAGGTTAAAAAAACAGGTTCTTGGCAGCTTCCTGAGAAGAAGGGTTGGTCTTTCTTGGTTCTGGTGGAAAAGGTTGGCTTTGAAGTTTGTTTGGAAGGCTTGACTTTGACTTCTTGGCTTCGTCTTCCCTTTGTCGGATGGCTCAGCTGATGTGGACGCTTACCTCTTGTTATGGACGGTTTGCTTCGGTTTCTCGGAAGGTTTGAATCTGTTCGGGTCGGCCTGTTCCTCCAGAAAGTGACTGTTCCGGACGATTTTCCTGTCACGTAAGGTTTACTTGTTTGGGAAGGGTTTGGTATGGCTTGCCTTCCCGAACAGTTTGCACTTGTTGTGTGAGCTTTATAGTTTATTTTGCAAGGTTTACTCTTGTTTCCCGGAAGGTATTTGTGAACGCGTACTGTACAATTCTTGTTCGGACTGCCTAGACAGGGTTCTCAACATGTTGCTTTGAGCCCCCCGTTTTTGCCCTAATTCAGCATGGACTCTTGTGCTGCAGCGAGCGCATTTCTTCCTGCCTGCAGGTGTCACACGGTGAGCGAGCTGTGTTCTACAGTAACATTGCGACAACTGGAACCCTGAACCAGCAAGCCACACAGTGAACGGGTTGCTTCCTTTTGAGACCATCCAGGTCACAGCCACGCAACGGGTTTCGGTTTCCCTTCGATTTCCCTCTGGCTTTCCTCTCGCTTCCTTTTGGTCTCTGCTTGGCTTCCCTTTTGGTTTCCTTTTGGTTTCCCTCTGGCTTCCCATTGGTCCATGTTCGGTCTCTCTTTGGTTTCCTTTTGGTTTTCTCTGGCTTGCCTTCGGTTTCCCTTCGGTTTGCCTTGCTTTCCCTTCGGTTTCCCTTCGGTTTCCCTTCGGTTTCCCTTCGGTTTCCCTTCGGTTTCCCTTCGGTTTCCCTTCGGTTTCCCTTCGGTTTCCCTTCGGTTTCCCTTCGGTTTCCCTTCGGTTTCCCTTCGGTTTCCCTTCGGTTTCCCTTCTGTTTCCTTTTGGTTTCCCTTTGGTTTCCTTTTAACTTAGTTTGGTTTGCTCCTGGCTTGCTTTTGGTTTACGCACGCACAAACACGCATACACACACACACACTTCAATACCCCAAGGGGTGGTTTGGTACATTCGTGCACGTCATGCAAGAGAGGAGAGGAGAGACAGGTTCGACTGCATCATTTCGAGTTGGCTTCAGACTGTAAAATCAACAATGAACGCATCACCAATCGAGCCATTGGTCCTTGCAAAGCAACGGCGCAACACACAACACAAAACGGCTCTGTTGATAGAACGATGTTGCGCGGGTAGCTCGAGGTGATCAGCCTCGGTGTTCGGTGTTTGCTGTGGCCGTTTCGTTGGACCATCGCACACAGCAAATGGATGGTTTTCCTGCATGAACTGAAAGGTGGTCCCAGGGTAAATCTGGGACTCAGCAAGGGGCGAAAACCCAACAGACAAGAAGCAGAGCAAAAACAAACCAAAACGAAGCGAAAAAGGGGAACTTTGAATTGGGTCTCCGCGGGCAAAACCCCAACCAAGAAACACGAAAACGGGAACACCAGTTTCAGGGTCTCCGAGGGCAAGAACCCGAAACAGCGCAAGACCGACCTGGAAGAAGATCACCGGGAAGTTGAAGAGCCGGAAGAGGAGGAGGCCATCCCTAAGTGGGCGACCCAGGATGTAGTGGCGAGGGCGATGGAGAGAAAGAAGAAGACCAGCAAGAAGAAGAAGCCATCCCGCAAAGGGGCCAAGAGCACGTACACCACGAGTCAACGGAAGAGGTAGAAGACGTCAAGCCAAACTGCGGGAAGAAAAAGGAGAGCGCCGGCGTGATTACAAACAGGGCGAAAAAGTCAAGGACGAAGGCGGAGAACTCGAAAACAAAGAGGCCATCCCCAAACGGGCGAACAGGAGGAGGACCAGCGCGCGGTTGCCGACAAGCGCGAAGAAGGGAATGGGAAGAAAAAGAAGCCATCCCTAAACGAACAATAAGCCAGAGATCGGTCAACAAAAAAATAGACGATGCGCGAGTTGAGGAGGAAAGGGAGGGAAGAAAAGATGTGTGGACGCAGGAGGCAACCCGGCCTTGTTGTTCTTGAGTGTGAAACATTCACAAAAGCACCTTCGTACATCACTGAGGTCACGATGCTGCGGTCACACAACTGAGGTTTGTAGAACTGAGGTCACGGTGAAACGACTTGGGTTCCTGAACTCCGCAAAGCGGACCCGAGGCCACACCAGGGGTGCACTCGAGGATCTCCATACTCCAAGGGGTGGTTTGGTACATTCGTGCACGTCATGCAAGAGAGGAGAGGAGAGACAGGTTCGACTGCATCATTTCGAGTTGGCTTCAGACTGTAAAATCAACAATGAACGCATCACCAATCGAGCCATTGGTCCGTGCAAAGCAACGGCGCAACACACAACACAAAACGGCTCTGTTGATAGAACGATGTTGTGTGGGTAGGTCGAGGTGATCAGCCTCGGTGTTTGTTGTGGCCGCTCCGTTGGACCATCGCACACAGCAAATGGATGGTTCCCCCTGCATGAACTGAAAGGTGGTCCCAGGGTAAATCTGGGACTCAGCGCACACACACACATAAACACAAGCACACACACAAACCCGCACATAAACACAAACACAGACAGACAAAGACAAAGAGACAGACACAGACACAGACGCAGACTCAGACACCGACACAGACGCAGACGCAGACACAGACACAGACAAAGAGACAGACATGGACACAGATACGGACGCAGACTCAGACACAGACAAAGACACAGACACAGACCCATACACAGACGCAGACACAGACACAGAAAAAGATACAGACACAGACACAGACGCAGACGCAGGCGCAGACACAGACACGGACAAAGACACAGACGCAGACGCAAACACAGACACAGACAGACACAGACAAAGACGCAGACGCAGACACAGACACAGACACAGACAAAGGCAGACGCAAACACAGACACAGACACAGACAAAGACACAGACACAGACGCAGACGCAGACACAGACACAGACAAAGACACAAGCGCAGTTACAGACAGAGACACAGGCGCAGACGCAGACACGGACACAGACGCAGACGTAGACAGAGAAACAGACACAGACAAAGACCCCGACACACACACACAGACGCAGACGCAGACATAGACACAGATTTAGACACAGATTCAGACAAGGACAGAGAGAGACACAGACAGAGTCACAGACACAGACACAGACAGAGTCACAGACACACGCGCAGTGAAACGGTTGGGTTCCCCACGGACTGGTTTCGTCATGGGTGCCTATGAAACCCCAACACCTTGTCCCAAAAACATGGTTGTTGTTGGGAAACAGTTCTTTGCTTGTTGTGGTTTAGTGGGACATCCCCACTTAGCTGCTGAAGGTTAAATTTTGTCTCCCCTAACCCAACGTCAACCCAGAAAAGGGGTGTGTGTGCGTGTGTGTGGTCCAGGCGGGCGTGCGCGGCGCCCAGCCAGGCCTGGCCTGGAGAAGGAGAACCAGGTGCTGAGGCAGGAGCTCAGCACCGAGCGCGCCAAGGCCGGGGAGTTGATCCGGGGGCGTTTGGGCTTCTTTTCCCGGAAGAGTGCCCCCTTTTTTCCGGGAGATCGAGGAGGAGGCAATTTATTTTCTCCGGAACAACAGGAAGGTGTCAAAATAGGCATCCTGTTGCTAAAGCACATTTTTTTAAGTTTCCCTTGCTGGTGTTAAAGGGAAGCTATCGCTACTGGAAATACTTCTCCTTTTTTTCCACGGGGCTGAAGCAAATGGAAGTGTTTGGCTTGCTTTTGGCTGGTCTGAGCTGAAGCAAGAGAAACCTGAAATGATTGAATAAAAAGGGGCGTGTGCTTTGGAGGGAGCCTCGGGGTTGGGCCAAAGGGAAACCAAGAGGAAGCCGGATGTCCGTGGTTTGAGGTCCTCTTTTGGCATGGTTGATCAATATTTTATTTAGGGCCCCCTAATGACCATGCGTATTTTTCGAATTTAGTGGTGAAAGTCATCTTTTTCCGTGTTTTTTTTCTGAATGGTCATCCCATGTAAAGGACCTTTTGATCAACCCCCAAATGGGTGGACCTTATTAATTGGAATAGGGGACCCTCTGGTGAACACTCGTGTGTGCTTGTGTGTGTGTTTTTTGGGGATACATGCTTACCGTGATTTTAAAGGGAACCAAAATGGAAAAACAGGCAGTGTTGGGGTCCAAACCGATGTGAGACAACAACCAAATGAAGTGTGTCTTGCAGGGTTGGTTCCAGAAGGTTTTAACAACCAGCCCGCCTTTTCCAATTCCTTTTCAGGAAGAACCGAGGTTGTTTGAGCAATGTCTGAAACATGCTTAAACACGGGGGTGGCCCAAAATTATGTTTTCCAAAGCCAGTCCAATATTTTGTCTTTCAGGGGGCCGGAGTGGCCAGGAGCGAATATCTGCAAAAGGCATCATCCATTCCATTTCTATGCTTGGTGGAAAGAGGGTATGTCTTTTTGTGATGGTACGACACCGAAAGAACATAACCCTTTCTTTTTTTTGATATTTTTGGGGCCTATTTTGACACAAGCCCAAGAGGAGTGATTTTGCCAACACCCTCAGAACTGGTTGCTGGACATCAATCCCCTGAAAGACGTCCAAAGCGTCCACTGAAGTTTGTTTGCGAATTGAAATTCGTGCCCACAAGGGGTCGGGGCTTGCCAAGACTCCCTTTTTGAAATTCAGGAGACTGTGTAGACACTGGCTTGGAGGGGGTCCGTTTGTTTCCTTCCTCAAAACTTATCAGGGTTTTCCATGGGCAAAGCCCTTGTTTCAATGTGTGTTTGAGGCACTCGCTTGGCAACCAACCCTGATGAGGGCCCTTCTTTTCCATGTGGGGAAGCTCATGATGGAGAGAACAAGCTGCACCATCCCCCCTTCCCCACCCCTCATTGGATGTGCGTGTCCCCGCGTCTGGTCAGCTCAACGGGGGACTTGTCAAAAACCACTGGGCACCTTTTCAGGTCCGGGCATTGCACGTTGCATGACAAGCTCCTTGCTCCTTTGGCCTTCAGACCGCCTCAGAAGAACCTTTTTGGTGAAAGTAGTCAGGTTGCAACTGTTCCATTCAGGTTGCAACCACTTTACTCATGGAAATAGAGGAATGGTGCCATCTATTTTGACCCTACAACAAAGTTGCCGATGCAATTTGATTTTTGGGCAACTTTTGATACCAAGGAAGGCCCTGGAAAGTGTCAAAGTAGTCTTGGGAGTCGGAATCCCACTTCGGTATCACAAGACCATTGTCAACTCCTTCACTTGGGGTTGGGATGATCGGACCCTGTCGAAGGGAGGGCGATGTGTGACTCCAGAATTTTAGTCCCAGGTCAAAAGCCGGGGGCTGCCAAAGCATCATTCTGGCAATATCAGCGCTGCGTATGGTAGCTTTTCTTAAAGGGCATTCCCAGCATGCTGCAGGAAGTGTTCTTTTTCTTCGTCTCACTCCAGAGGCTTGTCGGGCTTTCGTGGCTGTGGCTTTGGCGTTCCACCCCAAGCACCAGCACCCTCCGCGCACGCACGTGAGGTAAAGCAGCTGCAGAAGCTGCAGGTGGAAGCTGCGCAGGTCCCTTGGAACCTGATCAAAGAGCTGGGTAAGAGTGGGTTCAGACCGCTCATTGTAAGACTCTTCTGGCTTGAAGGAGATGTTTCTCCCTATAGGTGACAAAGAGCACCGCGATTTGTGTGGGAGAAAGAAGTTGACGGCCCCAAAACCAATCAGGTCAGTGTGTCTGTGCCCTTATTGTGACTGGTTTCAAGGGCATCCAAGCAGCTCGGGAGTCTCAGCTCCTGATTCGGTGCAAAGCCAGGGGCTCGCCCTCTATACCAAGAGGACATGTTGAGATCTTTCGGTGTTTCTCGAGTCGCATTTGTATCCCTGGGTGTTTTTCTTGTGCCTTGGGGTTGGAGGCGTGGTCATTGGAGGCCTGCCTTTTTCGACCAGAACGGGAGGAGGTGGTGGTCTTTCTTTTGGGGAAGCATTGTCTTTTCACCTTAGAATGACTCAAGCTTCCCCAAACGCGGATCGCTTCTCAGCATTCTCATTTCTACTTCACCCCAAAGAGTCGTTTTCACGTAGTGTTTTACTGTATAACCAAGGTTATATTTGGACAAGCCCGGCTACCAGTTGAATCCATTGCAACCTACACCCAATGGATGTGGGTCAAAGCCCAGCTACTGTTTTTGGGGTGACCCCCGCTTTTGCATTCCATATCAAGAGGGAACCAACCCGGTGGGGGCCGGGGGGTCCGAAAGCTCCGGAGGCGAACCATCGGGAGTTCGAGGCCAAGAAGCGGGAGGCGCGACTCTTTTCTCGCACGACTGGACAGAATCAGGTTCCAGGGTGACTTTCCTTTCGGTTTCCTTGTGGGTACCCAAAGGAAAATTGGCGCCTGACCAAATTTGAACCAACATGGTGTCAACTTCGGATGAACATGGAGGGCCACACTAATCAGGACTAGTCAGGGACGTTTCAATCCTGCGCAATTGGCCTTTGCGTTGTCGTAGGCATCTTCAACCCTGTCAGTTTGTAGGTGCAAGGATGGCCGCACAGCATTTGCTGTAGATTGCTCCATCGGATCGAGGATGACATGCGCCCACCAATTTGTCGGAAAGAGGCCGCGGCCATCTTGGCTGTCACGAGATGCTTCTTCTCGCAGCCACGGATCCAGCGCCTGATGCGCGATTCCATGAGCCAGTGTAAACTTGTGAGGGAGTACAGAGCAACGCACAAAAAAGAACGGAGCAACGCTTAGAACGGCGCAGCGCTTAGTACGGCGCAACGCTTTGGTGCATATCAGGGAAGTGGCCGAGTACGGGTGGAGGCCCATCTTTCAGGCAGGTCTCTGCCAACCGCCGGCTCAGCGCCTGTTCAGTCCAGTCAAGCCAGAACTGAGGTGCCGTTTGTTGGGCATATGCTGTGCATGTGGCTGCCGTTTGTTTGCACACCCAGTGGGAACCCGAGTAGTTTTTTTCAAGGCGCCCATTGGCGCAGACATCTCTTTTCTGGACACCGTGACTGCTGCGATGATGAGCGTCATCCTCGCTCACGGGCAGAGGGCGACTGTTCGACCGAGCTGGCCGAAGAGCTGCCTGACAGAGCTGCAGACTGGAAGCTCAAGTGCTGGCGGAGTCATGTCCCCTCTTTGAACGGATTTTTGACGAAGAGCTCCAGGCCCGCGCTTGTGCTTTTGCCCAGGGCTCCCGGCGCCCCGCAGACACTGTCAACGAAGCGGACGTCGCTGCGGTCTCGCAGCGTTTGTGGCAAGATGTGCGGCGCGTGTTTGGACTGCCTTGTTCGGCGCAAGAGGCCGCCGTTCTCGAACACTCTGAAGTGAAGCAACTCCCGGTTTCCTTCTCTTTTCGGGTGCCTTCATTTGCGAAGCTGCGCTCGCTTTTGCTCGCATAGACACTCCGAACAAACCTTCCGCGCTACGCCATCCTTCAAGATCAAGGCTTGGGAAGACCTCTCACGCTCAGCGCCCGCAGCGTAAACTCCGCCTTGTCCATGGGGCGACTCGACTGCGATTCTGCGGAAGCCCTTGCGCACGCTCTGGAGCGCCGGCCTAGACCGTCGCAGGCCAGACGAAGTACGCTGCGCGTGGGGCAGTTTCTGAACCACTTTCGGATCTGGCCTGGCGGCGGCGGCGCTTGTTCGCCCGAATCCTAAGCCACGGGCAACCGACGGAGCTTCTGCCTGAGACACCACCCTGACGCTTCGAACCTGCTCCACCTGAAGAGAGCGTGCATGAGCAAGCAAGAGCTGCGGGGTAGAGGCAACCGTGCGCCCCACTGCAAGTAGTCCATGAACCCGGCGGCCTGACAGCCGCGTACAGCCGCACAAACGCGCGAAAGCTACACTGGCATTCTTCAAATCGCCGCCTTGCGCCTTAGCCCTTCCGGACTTTGCACTTGGCTTTCTTGACTCTTGCGCGTTCTGATGCTCTGGCTGGGCGCTCACCAGCGCAAGGTCGTGTTGGAGATTTGGGCTTGCGCGCTGCGCTTTGTTGCGAGCACGAGCTTCCTTTTCTACGGCACGCATTCAGTGTGAACATACGCGGAGGCAACGGGCCGGGCGCGCTAGTTTTCTCAAAAGAGAAGTCTTTGTTGTTGACGTGCTCCCAGATCTTGAGGTCGCTGCAGCAGCGGCAGTGGCTCTGCCGCGCTGGAGGGTGTCTGACGTAGCGCGCCCCTTTCCCCAAGACCTGCGATGTCCGCGTGTTCCATCGCGTTCGCCTGTCGCTCGGGCTGCAGGATCATAATAGTGCAGCGCGCGCGCGGAGAACGGGAACATCGCGGCGCCTGCAATCCTCGCAAGTGCACGAGCGAGCGTGAGGTGTAGTTTAGTGAGCAGAGACAGATACTTTCTATGGCCATTGATCGGCCCTGCCCAGATTGCAAGAACGCTTGTTGTTAAACGTAGAGTCTAGCTGCCTTTGCTTTCTTTTTGCAGGGTTATCTGAAATTGAGATTACACAATTACACACGCCAGGGTGGCTTTACTTTTTGGTTCTCAAAGGAACCAAACAGAACACCAAGAGCCACCAACGCCCAAATACATAAAGTAGGGCATTTCCCAGAAGCAACCTGCTAGTTCAGGAAGAAACCAGCTAGCACACTAGCTAGCTAGCCACTGGCGAGCCTGGCAAGTCCCCCCACGGCTGTCGACCGATTTCACAGGCGGCGGCCTTGCGGGAGCTCGAAGAGGCGAAGGCCTATGTGTCGCGCAGGCGGAGTTTTCGGGAGCGTCGGGGTTCGTCTCGCCAAGGACGCTGAGGCTAACTGCCCTACCTGCGGAGGTTGAGGAAAACCAGGTTCCCCTATTTCGACAGCCACATGAAAATGGGGGCAACAGAAAGGGGTTTGTTTTGGGAGGATGAAAAATATCGGAACCTCAAGCATTGGAAGACAAGAAGCAAAGGCGAGCCGGGGGACGTCACATGGAGTGAGAAAACCAGGAAGCCACAACCAAACCGCTCAAAGTCAGAGGCATGGTCATCGGATGTTCAAAATCAGTGGGCGCCCAAGTTTGCCGCAGTGCCACTCCCAAATTTCCCTCGCCTTAGCGTAGAGAAGCTCCGTGTGGGGGTTCCCAACCTTGGCGTTCATTGCTCATTTGCACAGCAATCAAGAGACCGTCCAGGCCCCCCCCCCCCCCCCCACAAACTGCTATGTGGCCAGAAATTGAAAAGGAAAAGGGGTGTCTTTTGATTTCATGGCGTGCTCTTCAGGTGGTTGGTTTCTGAATTAGAGGGAATGCTGACATGAATGTAGGTTTCCTTTTGGGTTCCCAAGCCAACCCAACAAAGGGGTTCCAGCAAAAAAGAGACACCGCAACAGGTGTTGTTGGGCTAAAATAACCGAAGCTCGAAAACACGCAAGTCGCGTGGTTTGGTTCAAATCACGCGTTTGTTGGTGTCTGATTATTCTTGTCATTTTGCATTTAACTTGCTGCTGTCGTTTTGCCAAGCACATGTTCACCTGGAGCATTGACAATTTTGCTTCAGCTCACGAGCCATGGCCAAAAACACCAACTTGAGTGTTCTGATTGCTTTTTTAGTATAAAAATAACAATTATCATGTGCATCAATAAAAGCTACTTCCCTCATTCCAAATCTGGCATACAGGGGTACCCAATTATCCCGTTGTATATGTAAACACTGATAGGCCCATACAGAGGCCTGGTCAGTTTCAAACACAAGTTGGCAAAACAACAGTTGTTGAGGGACTCCTACCAAGGGTGGTTTCCCTTGGTTTCCCTTTAAATCCACACTAGGCTACCTTCAACAAATGACACACCCAGTGGTTTAAACTTGGTCCCTCAAACTCACCCAGTGGTTTAAACTTGGTCCTTCCCCCCCCCTTAAGGTGAAAAGGACAATTCGGGAAACTTGTGGTGGCGGGATCAGGAGCGTTTGGGGTTGACCCAGATGTCCCTGAGGCACAGCTTTGCCCTGAACGAGAAGGCGGAGCTGATGAAGACGATCCAGAACTTGGAGCGTCAGCTGCCCGGGGCCCAAAGCTTTGGGCTATGGGTCTCAGAAGGAGATGGCTGGGCTTTCCGTTGGTTACTTGGGTTACTTGCGCTACTTGGCTTACTTGGGTTGCTTTGGTTACTTTGGTTATTTTGGTTACTTTGGTTACTTGACGTTTCTTTACTTTGGTTTCGTTTCTTATGTCAGAATGTACTTGTCTTTTGTTGATAGCAGCGTATATGCCATGATGGGACCGTTTTACATCGGGGCAGTTTCCCAGCCCAAAAAGGGGTCCATCAACATAGGCCGCCATACCACTTGACCGAGGCCAGGGTTAGGCGAACTTTACAAAACGCACCAGACCCTCCACTTCAGAACCCCAAAAGGAGGTTTTGGGCCAATAGCGGTTTAAGCATGTTTCAACAAGCGGGGCCCAAGCCCGCTCGATCCTGAAATCGCTCCGATTCAAACATTCCAGTCAAGGACGTCCGAAAGAAGACACACCCCACCTACCCCCAAAAGAAACACCTGCCAGCTACCTGCCACCTGCCCCCGGCTCGTTCAACGGACATAACACTGGATCACGAGCCGCGAGGCAAGAGGCCGGGGATCGCGAGATGGCGCTGCGGCTGGAGGTGCAGGCTTCGCGGGCCATATCCCTCACACGGCTCCTGCTATGGCTCTGAATCTGTGTTGGATTTTCAGAAGAGGGCCACATCCGTGGAAAAGGGAAAACAAAAGGGAATGCAAGAGGAAGCCAAATGGAAACCACAAGTTGCCGTTGTGGCTTCCTTCCTTCTTGAGTTTCCTTTCAGCCCTTGCCAAACGACATGTTCAGCTCGGTTGACTTGGCTATAGTTTGCAACATTGAGCTGTCAGGAGGCGACGCAAGCGCGCAGTTCTGTGACCACCCAGCAGGACGGGCGAAAAGGCGCGTGGCCTTGTTCAAGGGTTCAAAAGAAATCGGGTACCGATTTCAGTTTGGCTTTGATCTCTGCAAGTGTCCCAAAAGGTCTACTTCTTGTTTATCAGATTGATCTCAACTTGATTGGCTTTGATCACTTCGAGTTTCAACCACGTAGATCTCCCTCCCCGAGTTTCGTGTGAACCCCCGGTTCCCCAAATGGGAAGGTGACACAACCAAACCGATTGAGGGCAAAGTGAACACCCCAAAACGAAGCTCAGTCCAAATTATTTAAAATGTGATGTTCAACCATCCGAGAAAGGCTTTTCTCGGTTTGTGAAGCCTCCGAGAAGGGCTTTTCTGAGTTTGTGAAGCTTCACTGGGAGACCAAAGGGAAACATCTTCATCTATTTCTTGCTCTTTGTATATTTTTTGTTGTTGGGGGGACGAGTGTCTGGCCATTTCAAGACGGTGCGGATGTGTGATCTCGAAAGATATGCCGTCCAGTACCGGTCCCTAATCAAGAATTCCCCCCGTTACTACTAAGGCCCTTGTAGTGAGAATTCCTTGTTTGATTCAGGACCCCCTTTGTTGGCGGGGATTCCTTTCGTAAGCGGGGGACCAGACTTCTAATTAAAGAAACGGCGGCAGGGGTGGGGGGGGCTCAACATGACACAACACTCATTGTTTGTAGTTGAACACATTTGTCGGGCGGAGGTGTTGGGTTTTCCCCAGGATTAATAGACTCTCGTCGATGGGGCTCCTTCACTTTTGGAGAACCTCCCATGCCGCTTCATTCGAAAGTTGAGAAATATCCCGCGGTCAACATCATCTCTGGATTGCCTGGCCACCATGGAAACAATCGAGGTTAACGAAACCATCGTTGTTTAAGGAGTGTCATCATCTAAAGTGGGGTTGATGCTTGGGGATTATGTCTCCGTCGTGGAAACACTTTCCATGCATGAGTGTTTCCCAGAATGTTCCGCTTTAGTTGGTATTTAAGGTTGAGGACACCAACAGGAAGCCAACAATTTTCGTGGACCTTTGAGGCCCCCACGTGGCAATTGAAACCACGACTTCCGTCTCCTTTGCAAGGAAGAATTCAAACTGAGGTCGGTACCACGATCAAGAGTACCATTAACAACCTGGCTCTTCACAAGATACCGGGGGGGGGGGGAATAGGGCATAGGGTAGTTGCAGTAGGGGGTAGCTACTGTGCATCTCGCTCGGTTCTCCCTATACTTTTGTCACATTTCCCTAGGGCTGCAGGGCTCGCGACGTTTATGCCATAGTCTGCCTTCCGTTGGCTGGAGTTGCCGAGACTCGGAATCGTATAGGCATTGAACTTGCTACTCGGGAAAGGCCCACTTTTTGCAGGTGACCCAAATTGAACAAGCGGGGACTGCAACTACTTTTCAATAAGATGCTTTGGGCATTTTTCCCTGGGCACATTTTTGAAAGGGTTCCGCTGGTTTCAGGTTAAGGGTTCCTCTTGTATGCATGGATTTTTCGCCAGAAGGACGAGGGTGTTTGGCTGGATCTCACCTCAAACATGTGTGCGCGCGTTCAGTCCAGGAGGACTACCAGAAGGAGGCGGAGCGGTGGCGTAAGGAGAGAAGAGAATTCCGATCGATTTGTCAGATTCGAGTTTTCGGACACTGGAAGCAGCTGTCCCTTAAGTCAAAAGGTGGTTTAGAAATCACGCGGAACTGTTCCAGAACCCTATCCAATGGAACCTGGAATCTTTCGGAACCTTCCGGAGCTCTCTTGACGAATGGAGGGGGTTTCACCCCTCTCCGGAACCTCCTTACCCTTTGACCCCTCCTCTTCCACTTGCTTCAGAATATTTATTTCATGTCCCTCGTTTTGTTTTCGGGAAACGATCACTCTTGCACAGATTTGTTTCACATTTTCTCAAGTCGTCAGCAAACTAGAATCCTCCAAACCTTGTTTCCCCAAAACATCCAGTTTGCCCTGGATGATTCAAGAACCAATCTGTGATTTGAGGACTGATCACTATTGGACAGGTTCTTCTCCTTGAACTTATTGGAGCTGGATTGTGGATTGTGGTTGTGGCTGTTGTTGTCTGGTTGGGTTGTTGTTTTCTCTTTGTTTCTGTTTGTGATGTTCTTCTTGTTGTCTTTTTGCGGTTTCGATGCGGTTTCCATTGTTTTTCTTCTTCTTTTTGGGCTTTTGTCGGTTTCCCCACCCCCTCGCCTCGGGGAAAACCCCCCGAAAACCCCTCCAAACGACCCGACGGGAGTCACGAGGACTCGGCAGAGCAGTCGGTGCGCCTCAAGGCCGCGGAGCAGCGCCTGCAGCAGCGCGATGGCCTGGCGGGGGCAAAAACTTTGCCGGTGCCAAGGGGGCTGTGGTGACGTCAAAACCGTTAAACGGGATCCCATTTTGGCTGGGATTGGTGAATTCACCACCCATTTTGGAACCTAGTTTAGTGGGGATTGGGATGTTCACTGGGGTACGGGATTTTGACCCATGGCCAATAGGGAAAAAAAACATCCCGAGGAAAGAATTCCTTCCCATTCGAAGGACCCTGAGGAAGAAATCCCGTCCAACTGGTTGCTTCCTTGAAGGGAATGCACTTCCGGTTCAGTTTTCAAAAAACCCGGAATGGTCATCCCCTACTGATCACCGGCAAGAAAATTCATGGGGGGGTGGGCTGAACATGACTTTGGGCATCACGCCAAAAACAAGGCTTATCGGCTTGTCGACCAAAGTGGGGCAAGGCTTGAAAGGTGCTCATTTGATGACTTGGACCTGCGGGATTTCACGAAGCATTTGTGGAATTCCTAGGTATAACCATGGTTGTAAGGGTAGACCTACGGTTATAACCTACTTGCATCGGTTGAGCATGCAGGCCCGCGGTGCCAAGTTTTCAAGGCTCGAGCAGCGCAAGCTGGAGGACAAGGCCAAGATCAAGGCGCATGGATCGGGTCGGAGGGTTCACCACCGACGCAAAACTTGGGTTCCGAAGGTGTTCAGAAGACGTGGTGAATCCTTCAGTTTTCCTTTCCACCTGCCAGCTGAAGCTCCCTTGTTGCCTGGCCAAGATACGGATAGGACAAGCGGATAGCAACACAATGGCTCGGTTGATTGCATGAGGTTGCATGGGGACATACGTTTCTGTACCCAAGAGAGGAGTTTGGGAATTCGGCGTTGGAAGGCTTTGTTGCCGAGCATCGTGTGAATGTCCCTCCTTGGAATGGTTTTTGCATCTCCTTTCCATATCCAAAGCATTCAAAGCAAGACCCTTTGCAGCCATGCTTGCCAGCTGAAAGCGCACGTCTATGTGGGTGATGTTTGCAGGGGACGCATAACGGGTTGTTCAAAGCAAAGGTCCTGATTTTGGAGTCATCCCCTTTCGAAAGCGGGATTGAACCGTTTTTGTGGCTTTTCTGCATTGCACCTTTTTTTGTTTTGGGGGGGGTTCTGCTTCCTTTTGCCTGAGCTCGGGCTGCGCATGGCTCAACAGACTTGTTGGGAACACCGGCAAAAAGGCGCGTTCTTCTTCGAACAACCAAGGGGGTGGATGGTCCAAATCAAGGTCAGTGGATCCCAATGCTGACCCTTCGC